CCTGGGGTCCACCTTTATAGGATTGACTAATGCATGTTCGGGCAGCGTGCAAAGAAACCCACGTCCCTTCTTGGAATCAATGTGCCTATGATGGGCCAGCTGCTTCGGGAATTGCCCCATCATGGGAGGTGCCAACACCGTGCCCATCCGTCTGTGCTTGAAGGCAGGGATGCGAGTGGGGGGTGGAATACGGCTGCGGCGAAGACGTACCCATCCCAACTTTGCCGCTTTCTTGCGCAATCTGTGTTTGTGTCCATTCAGAGTCAGTTCGCTTGTGAGGGGGACCCCCCTTTTGATTTAGACGACATTGTAGCCCCATTCTTCGTGCCTCTCGACCCCTTCTTTGAGTTCCAGAGGGGCCGTGACTACGCTCAAACGGGTACCAGCTTCCCCTCTCAATAGAAACTGTGGCGAGGTCTGTCCTTGCCCGCACTAAGTTGCTGTGTTTCTTCACTGCCCCCCTGGGTGTGCGCGGCACCGTTAACTCTCGCTGACAGGTGGGGATTTGTTGCGCTGCTTCAGACGCGGGTATCAGAGCGATGCCAAGCGATGGTGTTGAGGAGGAGCACGATATCATATGCGCCGATCCTCAGGTCCAGGATGGGTGCGGCCAGGTTCGGGGTCGCCATGGTCGCCGTCTTCCTGTTTTTCCCTAGGCGTCCGATTGTTTGTTGTTGTTCGATGTGCCTGCCCCCAGAGCTCCCGACCTCTTGTCCTTTGGTGGTATTTCATGCTGAGTCGCTGGTACACAGCGGCTCAATATGAAAAGCTTGTGTGATCCCCCCGGGGCTTGGACACGGGCTCCAGAGGCCCAAACCGGCGCACAATTTCGGTCGCGATGAGTCGAGCCGCTTCAGGGCAATATGTTTGTTGTGTTTTGTCTCTGTCTGTCTGTCTGTCTCTCTCTCTCTTTTTCTGACTCGCTGTTTGTTGTTGCTCTCTCTCTATCTCTCTCTCTCTCTCTCTTTCTCTCTCTCTTTATATGCATATGTGCATTGTGGTGGAACACAGGGCTTGCTATTTCAAAGCCAGACGATACGCCGATAAGACGATAAGACGATATAAGACGACCAGAGGACAAGACGATAAGACGATGTAGAGACCCGCCAGACGATACAACGATAAGACGATAAGACGATATATGGTCCCGCCAGACGATACGACGATAAGCCGATCAGAGTTATCGTCTTGTCGTCTTATCGTCTTGTCGTCTTATCACCCAAAGCTTTGATCATCACCCTTGGGCCATAGCTATGCCGTGCTATGCCATTCCACCGGGTCCCGATTGGCTCCCCTCAGGGCTCTCCCGTTTCTGGAGGCCGAGCGCCCCATCTTGGCCTCCGCCCATCAAGGCGCCTTACTTGGGAGCTCGCCTTGGAGGCCCCTCCCAAAAACCGAACTGGGAAACTGTATCCCCCCTCCCTCCAAAAACCGTTTCTGGAAACGGTGTTTCGGTCAATTGTCGTTCGATCTCTACGATCCTTGGGCTTCGTGGCGGTCCCAGGGTCCTCTTGGGCGCCTCGGGGAGCCCCTCGGGGCCTCCTGGGCATCTCTTACACACCTACACACCTAGCCAAAAGACGACCAGACGATAAGACGATACGACTTATTGCATTACCGTCTTATCGTTTTCCCACCTTAAGCTATAGTTATCACCCATTAGCCGTATCTATGGTGTCTGCAGCCCGAGAGTCCCACCTTGGCCTCCGCCTATCAAGGCGCCTCACTTGGGAGCTCGCCTTGGGGGCCCCTTCCAAAAACCGAACTGGGAAACTGTATTCCCCCTCCCTCCAAAAACCGTTTTTGGTAACGGTTTTACGGTCAGTTGTCGTTCGATCTCTACGATCCTTGGTTTTCTTTGCGGTCCCAGGGTCCTCTTGGGTGCCTCGGGGAGTCCCTCGGAGCCTCTTGGGCATCTCTTACACACCTACACGCCTAGCCAAAGACGACCAGACGATAGACGATAAGACTAATTGCATTACCGTCTTATCGTTTTCCCACCTTAAGCTATAGTTATCACCCATGGGCCATAGCTGTGGTGTTTGGAGCCCGAGCGCCCCACCTTGGCCTCCGCCCATCAAGGCGCCTCACTTGGGAGCTCGCCTTGGGGGCCCCTTCCAAAAACCAAACTGGGAAACTGTATCCCCCCTCCCTCCAAAAACCGTTTCTGGAAACTGTGTTTCGGTCAATTGTCGTTCGATCTCTACGATCCTTGGGCCTCGTGGCGGTCCCAGGGTCCTCTTGGGTGCACCGGGGGGGCCCTCGGGGCCTCTCGGGCATCTCTTACACACCTACACACCTAGCCAAACGACGACCAGACGATAAGACGATACGACTTATTGTATTACCGTCTTATCGTTTTCCCACCTTAAGCTATAGTTATCACCCATGGGCCATAGCTGTGGTGTCTGGAGCCCGAGCGCCCCACCATGGCCTCCGCCCATCAAGGCGCCTCACTTGGGAGCTCGCCTTGGGGGCCCCTTCCAAAAACCGAACTGGGAAACTGTATTCCCCCTCCCTCCAAAAACCGTTTTTGGAAACGGTTTTTAGGTCAATTGTCGTTCGATCTCTACGATCCTTGGGCTTCGTGGCGGTCCCAGGGTCCTCTTGGGTGCCTCTGGGAGCCCCTCGGGGCCTCTTGGGCATCTCTTACACACCTACACACCTAGCCAAACGACGACCAGACGATAAGACGATACGACTTATTGTATTACCGTCTTATCGGTTTCCCACCTTAAGCTATAGTTATCACCCATGGGCCATAGCTATGGTGTCTGGAGCCCGAGCGCTCCACCATGGCCTGCGCCCATCAAGGCGCCTCACTTGGGAGCTCGCATTGGCGGCCCCTTCCACAAACCGAACTGGGAAACTGTATCCCCCCTCCCTCCAAACACCGTTTCTGGAAACGGTGTTTCGGTCAATTGTCGTTCGATCTCTACGATCCTTGGGCTTCGTGGCGGTCACAGGGTCCTCTTGGGTGCCTCGGGGAGCCCCTCGGGGCCTCTTGGGCATCTCTTACACACCTACACACCTAGCCAAAAGACGACCAGACGATTCGACGATACGACTTATTGCATTCCCGTCTTATCGCTTTCCCACATGAAGAGGCGCCTCACTTGGGAGCTCGCCTTCGGGGCCCCTTCCAAAAACCGAACTGGGAAACTGTATCCCCCCTCCCTGCAAAAACCGTTTCTGGAAACAGTTTTTAGGTCAATTGTCGTTCGATCTCTACGATCCTTGGGCTTCGTGGCGGTCCCAGGGTCCTCTTGGGTGCCTCGGGGAGCCCCTCGGGGCCTCTTGGGCATCTCTTACACACCTACACACCTAGCCAAAAGACGACCAGACGATAAGACGATACGACTTATTGTATTACCGTCTTATCGTTTTCCCACCTTAAGCTATAGTTATCACCCATGGGCCATAGCTATGGTGTCTGGAGCCCGAACGCCCCACCTTGGCCTCCGCCCATCAAGGCGCCTCACTTGGGAGCTCGCCTTGGGGGCCCCTTCCAAAAACCGAACTGGGAAACTGTATCCCCCTCCCTCCAAAAACCGTTTCTGGAAACGGTTTTTAGGTCAATTGTCGTTCGATCTCTACGATCCTTGGGCTTCGTGGCGGTCCCAGGGTCCTCTTGGGTGCCTCGGGGAGCCCCTCGGGGCCTCTTGGGCATCTCTTACACACCTACACACCTAGCCAAACGACGACCAGACGATACGACGATACGACTTATTGTATTACCGTCTTATCGGTTTCCCACCTTAAGCTATAGTTATCACCCATGGGCCATAGCTATGGTGTCTGGAGCCCGAACGCCCCACCTTGGCCTCCGCCCATCAAGGCGCCTCACTTGGGAGCTCGCCTTGGGGCCCCTTCCAAAAACCGAACTGGGAAACTGTATCCCCCCTCCCTGCAAAAACCGTTTCTGGAAACAGTTTTTAGGTCAATTGTCGTTCGATCTCTACGATCCTTGGGCTTCGTGGCGGTCCCAGGGTCCTCTTGGGTGCCTCGGGGAGCCCCTCGGGGCCTCTTGGGCATCTCTTACACACCTACGCACCGAGCCATTTTGGTTCAAGCCATTCGCAATGGGAGGAGGAGGAGGAGGAGGAGGAGGAGGAGGAGGAGATCCGTTTCGCGTGAGACATCCTCAGGAGCTTGGGCTCCGATATGCCACATTTTCTGATGATCTGGGCAGTCTCGCCTGGGTCATCCTCACTATTCCGGGGTCCAAGATACATTTCTCGAAAAGTTCTGGCCCGCTTCGCGTGGGACATCCTCGGCACTCTGGGATCCGAGATGTTTTGATTTGCGGTGATCTGGCCACCTTCGCCTGAAACATCCTCGCAACTCTGGATTCCGAGATGCCCTGTCCCCTGGTTGTCCGGCCATGTTCGCCCGTGACATCCTCGCAACCTTGGGTTCCGACACGCCCTGGGCTGAGATGGTCAGGCCACTTTCGCTTGAGACATCCTCGCAACGCTGACCTCGGAGGTGCCCTGTCCTATGGTCGTCCGGCCGCTTTCGCCTGCGACATCCTCCTAACGTCATCGTGGTCATCGTCGTCATCATCATCGTCATCATCATCGTCATCGTGGTCATCGTCGTCAACATCATCAGACGACGAGACGATAAGACGACAATACGATAATATTGTTTCGTCGTCTTATCGTATTATCGTCTTGTGTGGCCCTATATCGTCTTATCGTCTTGTCGTCTTTTCGTCTGGTGTGGCTCTATATCGTATTATCGTCTTAGCGTCTTATCATCTGTTGCCCCGTCATCGTCTTAGCTTCTTATCGTCTTATGTCGCCTTATCGTCTTATCGTCTTATCGTCTGTGCGAGGTTTAAAGCGCTGATTTCACCCACTCTGTATATATATATGTGTGTGTATGGAAATTCTTATGTTCCTCTCTCTTCCGATCACTCTCTTTTTCTTACTCTCTCTCTCCTCTCTCTCTTCTTTTGCTTGTTCTCTCTCTCTCTCTCTTTCAACGCTCTCGAGGTCGCGGTAGCGCTGCGGGCCCTCAACTCCCTGACGCCGCGCTGGGGCGCCGCAGTGGCCCGCTTGGAGCGAGAGAGGTGCTTATATCCTCAGCAAGCCGCTCCCCCCCCCATGGACGAGGAGAGGAGAAGGAGAGAATGAGGAGGAGGAAACAGGAGGGGAGGTATGTGTTTGGATGCTTTGCATTCGGGCGTGGCCCGAATTGGTATTCTCGCGAGCTGGACTGGATTCGCTGGTCTGGTCGCACCCGTTAGCGATTCGTTGTACTTCCGGCTTCCGAGTGCGCAATTGATGGGGCAACCAGGAACAGGCCGCGTTATTTTTGGTTGTTGGGTGCGCAACCTATGGCGCAACCCATAGAAGGCATAGTCATTATATTTCGCCGAGGTCGCAGCCCATAGCGCAACCACTGTCAGGTATGTTTGTAATTGGCTGCCGAATACGCAACTATGTCGCCCACAATAAAAGCACGTTCCATTAGCGGCCGCCGAGTGCGCATTCTACCGCACAACCAATTACAGGCAGTTATATATATATATATATATATATATATATATATATATCGGCCTCCCGAGACACTGTAGTGTCATTGTTATGTTTAGCCGCTAAGTGCCCAACAAGTTGCGCATCTCAAAGATAAAGCATGACGCGCCGCATGGAGTGCGCAACGCGCAACTCTTGCATCGCGCATTCTATGGCGCAGCCCATGGATGGCGCAACTAATGGATTACGCAACCTTTGGCGCAACCCGGCTGGCAATGGGGCCCAAGAGGCAAGCTGTCTTGCGGTCGATTTTGGTTGAGGCGACACATTGCGTTGGCCATTGGAGTAGCAATGCAGGGTACGTCCAAACCCCAGTTGTTTACATGTATATGATAGAATATTCCCCCCCTTCCAGGGTGCTCCCCACCTCGGCAACATCTCGGGCAAATCATGGTACCGCCCTCCCGGGTCTCCCTGGCGTCCACGGGAGAGCCTCGGGACGGACTCCCGAGCTTCCCAGGTTGCACGGCCATTGACACATCCGAGACAGCCCAACAGGGTTTTGAGATCGCCCACGACAGTGCTTCCACTGCCCAAACGGCCCCCATGAGCACCCAAGAGAGCGCCAAGAAGCCTCCAACAGACCTTCTAAAAGAGCTACGAGAAAGCTCGCGAGAGGCAAACAGCTTTAACAATTTACGGAAGACGCACATATATATATATATATATATACACATAGGAGAGAGAGAGTATACATACACACATGTATACAGATGTGTTAGGTTTCTCGGATATTCGCCTCCGATAGCTTCCGAGGCTTGCGCGTGACGGGGGGCCCAGGGCCGCGACCCCGACCGCAAATGCGCGGCCTGGGGCCTAGTCCGCCGCTGGGAGGCTCCAGATCCGCCCCCGAAGCGCCCAGACCAGCGCCAAGGCGGCTCAACACGGCCACGAGTCGCCCCCAAGACGGCCTCCAGGAGTTTTGGACGGCTCCCGCGGCGTCTTCAACGGCCCCCGAGACCTCGAAGAGGCCCCAAGACCTCTCCCAGACGACTTCCATAGAGCGCCGAGAGGCAAAATCGTGTCATTTCGTTCGAAACATGTGTTTTTGCAGATTCACTTCTGGGGCGTTCACAGCGACCACGATGGCCCAAGAGCCCCCTGGACCGCCCCAAGACGGCCCACGAGGCCTCCACGAGTGCCCTCAGGCGGCCCACAAGGATCCCAAGACATCCAAAGGGACGCCCGAGACGGCCCAAACGGGCACCCTGAGGGCCCCAACAGGGACCCAAGATGGGGAACTCCGACTGACATTTCGAGCTCTCCGCTCCCAGAGGGGCCCCGAGACCGCCACCAGGCCCCCAAGAAGAAGGCTCCAAGGGGCCCCAAGAGGTCCCCAAGACACCCACAACAGGCCCCTAAAAGGCTTCCAAGAAGCCCCCAAGAGGCCCCAGGCGGCTCCTGGGAAGCTCCCGTGAGGCTTTGAAGAGGCCTTAAGTTCTCGTTTTCCCGGGCTTCTCTGGGCACAGGACATCTGCAGGAGTTTCTTGGATAGCCCCAAGCCAGCCCAAGAGAACCCGAAGAGCGCCCTAAGACAGCACAAGAGGGCCTCAAGACGGCCCCCAAGAACTCATGACGGCGCCAAAGAGCGCCACAAGGGGGCCCCAAGCGGGCCCCAAGCTCCCGAAGTCCGCTGGAACGTTCTCAAGAGGTCCCCGAAGAGGCTTCCAAGAGGCCCCTGATAGTCATCCCGTGACACTCCGAGAGGAATCCAAGCCACCCTTCACCCACGACCCGAGGCACAGGCATTACTTGTAAATGCGTTTATGTAGTGTATTCTTATGTATGCTGGTTATATGTTTTACTCATGTGCGTACGAACGTAATTATGTAATCATGCGTGTATGAGTCGGCACGGCGCACAAACCGTGTGAAGAGTGTGCCGAAATGGGCGGAGGGGACAAGGTCCCAAAAAGCCTCCAAGACGCACCCACGAGACCCCAAAGAAATTCCCCACGAGACCCCCAGGAGTCTCCTCAAGGCTCAAAGACACCCGAAGAGGCCCCACAAGGCCCCCTGAAAAGAATTCAAGAGGCGCCCACGAGGCTATCAACATCCCCAAGAGCCCCCAAGCGGCTCCACAAGACCCCAAGAGACCGCTCGCAATTTTATCCCCGAGCTTCCCATGTGCCGGGACTTGTCGAGGCCGCTTTGGGCGACGACAAGAAGGAGGCGAAGGAGGGGAGAACGACGAAAAGAAGGATGAGGAGGGGGAGTGGAGAAAGAGGAGGAGGAGGAGGAGGAGGAAGAGGAGTAGCAGGAGGAGGAGGAGGAGGAGGAGGAGCAGGACGACGGCGACGACAACGACGATGACGACGACGACGACAGCGACGGAAGAAGGCCCTGATGATTACGAGGCCAGCAGCTGTTTTTGGGAAGTATCTTGAGAAATACATAACACCCCGCAATTGCGGATAAGAGTTAGGGGGCGGGCGCGGGCGACGCGGGCGTCGTCAAGCCGGCGGACCTCGTGGCCCCCACCTTCCCTGTCGATGGCGCTCTCCTCCTCCTCCTCCTCCTCCTCCTCCTCCTCCTCCGCCTCCTCCTCCTCCTCCTCTTCCTCGTCCTCGTCCTCGTCCTCATCGTCATCGTCGTCCTCCTCCTCCACCTCGTCCTCCTCCTCCTCCTCCTCTTTTCCTCGTCCTCCCTCTCCCCCCCTCGTCCTTCCATCATCGTCCTCCCATTGTCGTCATGTTCCTCCTCGTCGTCCTCCTCTTCCCCCCCTCCCGATCCTCCCCCCTCCTCCTTTTCGTCGTCGTCGTCGTCGACGTCGTCGTCGTCGTCGTCCTTCCTCCTCCTCCTCCTCCTCCTCCTCCTCCTCCTCCTCCTCCTCCCTCCTCCTCCTCCTGCAAAAGCAGCCCGCCGCAGGCGCCGAAAAATTTGGTTTGTACACTGAACGTGGTTTGGGTCGCGGGTGGGCCGCGGATTCTCCACCGGGAACGAATGCAAAAGATGCCCGCCGCAGGCGCCGAAAAATTTGGTTTGTACCCTGAACGTGGTCGCGGGTGGGCCGCGGTCTCTCAACCTAGAACGAATGCAAAAGATGCCCGCCGCAGGCGCCGAAAAATATGGCTTGTACCCTGAACTTGGTTTGGGTCGCGGGTTGGTCGCGAGTTGGTCGCGGGGTGGGTCGCGGGCTCTCCACCTGGAAAGAATACAAAAAAAAGCCCGCTGCAGGCGCCGAAAATTTTGGTTTGTACCTTGAACGTGGTTTGGTCGCGCGGGTGGCGCGGTGGGTCGCGGTGGGTCGGGGTGGGTCGCGGGTGGGTCGCGGGTGGGTCGCGGGTGGGTCGCGGGTGGTGGCGGCGGGTGCGGGGTGGGTCGCGGGTCGCGGGGTGGGTCGCGGGTGGGTCGTGGGGTGGGTCGCGGGTGGGTCGCGGCGCGGTGGGTCGCGGGTGGGCCGCGGGTCGGGTCGCGGGTCGCGGGTGGGTCGCGGGTGGGTCGCGGGTCGGGGGTGGGTCGCGGGTGGGTCGCGGGTGGGTCGCGGGGCGGGTTGCGGGTGGGACGACGACAAACAACAACAACAACAACAACAACAACAACAACAACAACAACAACAACAACAACAACAACAACAACAACAACAACAACAACAACAACAACCAAACAACAACAACAACAACAACAATCATTTTACCCGAACGCTCAGTGTTCTCCCCAGTGCCAGGGTTTTCTTGCGACACCAGCCAATACCCCCACTTCGTGGGGGGGCCGTTCAAGCTCTACCAAATATCCAAACGACTCTTCGAGACCACCCACACCCAGCTTCCCGCCCTATGACGTTGGGACACTTCACTTCGTGGCGTGCGGACGACCCTGGCTACTACACTGGCGTGGGGTACACACCCACAGAGGTTGATCACATCTGTTACATATGATGTGGTACACGGTAGGTACACGTGAGATGGTACGCAGTGCCTCTTGGAGTCCTCTTGAAGCCTCTTGGGACCATCTTGGGCGCCTCTTTGGGCCTCATGGACGCCTCTTGGGGCCATCTTGCGCGCCTGTTGGGGCCATCTTGGGTTTTAAAGATTCATCAAGAGACCGCGAATGGATTTCGAGATTTTTCGGATGAGAAAGTAGTGCGTTTTCATATGTTTTCTGAACATCGCATCTTGAAATTATTGAAAACCCATTGTGTTTGGCAGGATTTCGACATGCGCGCGCGGCGGCCGCGCGCATGTGCACTTCGTCTCATTTTTTGCAAGGGATGGTGGCCCTCGCAGGCGCGCAACCGTTGTTGGAGAAGTTCAAAGCACCTGAAGAAGTAGCACGCAAAGACCCTTTTGACAGAAATGTTTAAAAAGTGGTGTGTTTCCTATGAATCCGCAAGAGCGCGCGGAAGGACATTTTGACAATTTTTTCTTAAAAAACCATTGGGTTTTTGATGTTTTTATGTTAAAATCGCTACGAAACCTAAGGTTTTGGAAGGATTTCGTCTTGCGAGCGCGAATGTCCACTTTACCTTATTTTTTGCAAGGGATTCTTGAAATTTGATCAACTAAGAACAAGAATTTTCATTTTCTATTGTTTTT